CAGCTACTTGGGAGGCGGAGGCAGGAGACTCACTTGAGCCAAAGAGTTGGAGGTTGCTGTGAGCTGTGATGCCACGGCACTCTACCCAGGTGGATAGCTTGAGGCTCTGTCTCAGAAAAAAAAAAAGAAAGAAAAGAAATAAATTAACCAAGAGTTGAAGTCTTTTATAGAAACAGAGCAGTCAAGTATGGAAGAAGGTATATGCCAAGCAAATGCTAAAATTTAATCTCAACCCTCTATAAGCAGCAATTAAAGGAAACTCGCATTTTACAGCTTTTTCTCATTATTATTGAATAAGTAATATTTAGAAATTTGAGGTAGAAAGGTAGTTTTGTTTGAATGTCACATACGTTATCCCCCTCACATTACTAGATGGGACAGTGAATGAAGTCTGTTGCTTACTAACTGATTCCTCACCTATGTTAAGCATGCTTCTCTTTGTATGTACAGGTACAACAGAATAGCTCGGGAATGGACTCAGAAGTATGCGATGTAATTAAAGAAATTATTGGATAACCTCTACAAATAAAGATAGGGGAACTCTGAAAGAGAAAATCCTTTTGATTTCCATTTGACTGCTTTCTATGAGCCCACGCCTCATCTTCCCCTGTGCACATGTTTACCTGATACAGCAGTGCTGCGTGTTGTACATACTTGGAACAACAAACTAGAAATACTGTACTTCTGTACCAACATTGCCTCCTAGCAGAGAAGTGTGTGTGTGTGACAAGCCAGTTCTCTCCAAGCGTAACCTAGGTGTGAAACTAAAAGCTTTCCTTATTGACTTAAATTTGGATAACTGCAAGGTGTGAGGGGTGGTAGGTTTGGTGTGTGCTTGGACGGGGAAGAAAAGCTCCACTGACCTTTATGAGATTGTTTTTAAGTGGAATCCATTTAAACTCAAAACAGTTATGAAAAGCAAGTTGAAGAACATGAAGCTGTTTCTGTATTCATTTTATTCCAAAGGACCTATGTCTTAGGTGAAAGTTATGTCCAACCAGATTAAACTCTACCCACATCCTGTATTTTAAGGTCTAAGTTTAACCAGTCAATATTTAAATGGATTGGAGCTATTAGTACATAAAGTGTGATGGGCATTGTTCCCAACTCTTTTACATCTCCCCACCCCCTCAACCTTCAGCCTTTCAGCCCCTCTTTCTCTCTTCCATATTCTTTGGTTTGTATGTGGTTTCTCAGTTAATACATAGCTAATAGCTCTTATTTTTCTTATGTTTTTAACTGCTTAGGTCTATTTGGATGTAAGGGTGAAAATTCATTTGATGGAAATACTTGTGTATATTTAAAGACCCAATTGCTCCTCTGGAGCTTGTACGTTCAAGAATGATTAATCTGTGTAATAAACTGATTACTACAGTCATTACATACAATTTTGTGTGAATAGGCTTTTTGATTTTTAACAACTTTGTTTAGTCAAGATTAGTGTTTGATTTTTCCTCACCCCTTTATGTTCATTTATACTGGTTGCATTTCAAAACCGTGAAACAATTCCAGTTTTAAAAAGGATATCTTGAGAGTAATTTTATTGAACAAGATAGGGGCATCAGCTTGAAAACATTTTTATGAAACATACACATGCAGAATCCCAGGAACATGACTGTTAAACTGAATAAGAAATTTGCTTTATTAATGAAACTAAGCTGCATTTCACCAAAAGCTTGTGACATTCGCTTGGTACATAGGACATAAAACAAAAAAGCATTGCTATTTGGTAAGTTAAGCCTCTATGATTGTAATTATAAAAAAGCAACATTGACCAAATCTAGAAAACATGAGCACAATCTTGTTTTGAAGAGTCTACATAATTACTTTGCACTAACATTTGAAGAATTTTAAATTGTACTATATGTGGCTTTTTCAAAGTCTTCCCTTGACTCTAGTAAAATGTAGTTTGAAACTTGTAAACAACTGTGTTTACCAAAAACATTGATGTGAACTAGGCAAGTTATTTTTTTTCCTCACTTCTTTTCCTAATCTAATTGTAAACCAGGCCAACCAGAAGGCCATGGCTAATGCTCTCTAGCCATAAGTTTCTTTCAAATGCATCTTTACACTCTTGCACAAAAATTGAGGAATAAATGTCCATTGCTTTTGGTTTTAAACTTGTTCACTTTGTCTCATCTCTCACTGTCATTACTCTTTCACCTTGGAACTTGTATGATACAATCTAAAATTTCTTACAGTTTTGCGTTTAGCTACTTTTTACTCGTAAGCATTTTCAGGGATACTTATTAGCATCTTTGACCTTGGAGAAAAGGTTTGACTATTAACAGTTGTGGTGAAAGGAGTTAGAATTTGAGATCTGGCTCGGTGCCTGTGGCTCAAGTGGCTAAGGCGCCAGCCACATACACCTAAGGTGGCGGGTTTGAATCCAGCCTGGACCCACCAAACAATAATGACGGCTGCAACCAAAAAATAGCTGGGTGTTGTGGTGGGCGCCTGTGGTCCCAGCTACTTGGGAAGCTGAGGCAGGAGACTCGCTTGAGCCCAGGAGTTGGAGGTTGCTGTGAGCTGTGAAGCCACGGCACTCTACCCAGGGGGATAGCTTGAGGCTCT